CATTGCATTTAATTTACTCTTCATTTCAATCAACGAAACACTCATTAATTTTGAACACATTTTGTAAACTAATATTAAAATTAGTTTAATATAATTATAAATTAATTAAACACATTTATAATAATTAATAAAATGTAAATACAATTTATTTGAACTAAATAATGAAAGCATTAAAACACACGTGAAGTCCATGTGTTGTTTGTGTTGAGTCTATGAACAGGTATTTCAAACACTTGATAAAAGTATTAAGACATACATGTGGTTGTGCTAAACTAATGGTGAAGTTAATCCATGTTAAAAATAACTACTCTCTCCCTACCATGGTCAGAATCTTACTTTGTACAAGTGCTATATTCAATATAATAAAGCGCTGTTAATAGTGACACAAAATAATCTAATTTTAAAATTATGCGCTAAATAATAATTTGCGCTTGCGCATTGCATTTGTTTGTCACTATATTATAGTCAATCACATTGTATAATATGATATTTGTTATTTGTTATTATAGTTTGTGATAAACAAGTAGTTTATTTTAAAATGTTAATCTGTTTTATAAAACAAAAACTTTATTGCATTTACTATTTAATGCAAATAACTAATAATATTTAAGTCAAACGATAACTCAGTGCCAAAATCAAGGTAAATTATTATTGTATAATTGTCTATTAATGTAGTTATAATATTTATATAGCACATACTATTTTTACAGCCAATTAATTGGTCGCAAAAACTAATGGCGCTAATTATGGAGTCGAGTGTAGGCGAGCGACAAATGAAACACAGCATGAATTTATTGGCAAAACTAATTCACCTCAATAAACGTCTGGACAAATGGACCGACATGTTGGCCAACAACTCGATCACAATTAACGCACCCATCGGTAACCATAGCGACAGTCAGGAGCAGCCGGTGTTTAAAATGTGCAAAACTCAAGTCTCGCCGACTAATACTGTTTTTGAGCCGGCATTTGTCACAACCCCTGTACAGAGCGGGACAACTACTACTACTACAACCCCTACAGTCGCCGCCGTAAATAACGTACAGTCGTCGACGCCTACAGTAGTGGACAAAATGTTTGCCTGTTTTCTACCGAAATGCGGCTTTCGGTCCAAGTATTACGATTTGCTCAAAAGCCACGAACTGCAACACCAACAGGCAGTTGGTCACTCTGCCTATCGATGCGATTACGGTCACTGCGACGAGCGCTACCCCAACTACGCGGCCCTGCGCGCGCACGTGACCAGCGTTCACATGGTCAGCGCCCGATACGTGTGCGATTACAGCGGTTGCGACAAAACGTGCGCCACCCGTTGGCAGTTGAGCCGACACATCACCGTCAGTCATAACACGCGCTGGCATTACCGCTGCGATTACGACGATTGCGGCAAATTATTCAAGTTTCCCTCGCACTTGGCCGCTCACAAGCGTATTCACACTGGCGATCGGCCTTTCCGGTGCGATCGCCCTGGGTGCGGCAAGTGTTTCAATCAACACACACATTTGAAAGTGCACATTAAGACTGTTCATAAACAAGTGACATAGTGTGTTTTATTTGCGAGTTAAAGCCATTTATTTTGCCATTAATAATACTTATGTTAGTTTATTTAATTAACACTCGTGATAGAGTTGTATTAATCATGTTTAAGTATTATGAATTACAATAAATTTTGTTTTCATGTTAATGATACTTGTTAATTCTTATTTGGTCTTAAATAGTGTATTAATTAGAATATAAAATATGCTCATACCTCAAATCCGAGACAGACAGAGAGTGTGTATCAAATATGAGCCAATTCCCAAACGG